GAATTCGTTGAAGTTTATCAGATTAAGAAAACGAACAAGTTTATTTGAATTATATTTATTGAAAATTTATTAACAATATAATAATAAACTATTGATATTTTTATTTAAACCTTTATTGATAATAAATCATATTAAAAGCAAATATATAAATATTATTATTTTCTTCTTGGTTTTTTTGCTTGGTTATTCTGAGGGACCTCTCTTTCATTTTCAATATCTACGATTTCCCTGGTATGTTTAGATGGTCGATTACTAACAAGGATGCTGATATTGGTCTCGACCAATAATTTTTTGGTATATTTTTTGGTTTTTTATGATTACTGAGCCATGTTGGATCGGGTACAAATGCATAACGTTCCTTGAAAAATGCCAATATGGCTTCGTCGATATCGTTTTTTTGCTCATAAAAATCAATATCACTTTTGATCACACTATCGTGTTTTTTGAGTTGAGCATATATGTTTTCTATAGTATCAGTATATTTTAATTCTCCACTATTCTTGCTGTTATAACCAAAAAAATCTATGTAATTAATCTCCCTGGTAAAATATATGGCTGACATTGGATGCTTGATATGCACCCAGTAACATTTGTTTCCCTCGTATCTTTCTAAAAGAGGATTGGTTTCGATGGATTCGAGGGTATCTGAGAGAGTAAGCAATGCCATCAGTAAGATATCACTTGGTTTATCATTACTATTCATATCCTCTTCTCCAGTTTCATTGGATACTATAACTTCAACATCTCGTGTGAACCTGAATCTCTCACTGGGATCTGGTTTACGGATCTCAGCAAAGGAACGCATGCCACAGTATTTTCTTTCTTGTCGGAGAACAATGTAAATATGCACAACAGAGTCTTTTTTAATTAAGTCTTCAGTGAGCTTATCGTAATAGATTATTATTCATTTGATCTCTTTACTACGCAACTCCTGTTGTTCCTCGGAGTTACACCCTTCAAGGCGCTCATAAATGGTCTTGTTCTTTGCAAAGCTTGCTACATTATCTCCGGTACATACGTTTATATAATAAACATATTTAGATTTCTCCGATTGTGTTCCCGTACCGTAGTAATCATAACTTGTTGGTTTGATGTAATCAGAATAATTAGTATCCATGTTGTTATTACTTTAATTTTATTTAAAAAAATTACTGACGCCAAATTGTCGTCAACCTTGGTTTTATAATAAAGTTATGTAGTACAGGTTTATACAATTATTTATTTAATACGACTTGCCATATTCTATTTGTTAATTCAAATGGATTATCTTTCCTATCTATCCGAGATTCTAAAAAATATTATCGATGATGATTTTATTGTCTGGAGACACTTAT